TTATTCAAGGTTATTATCCTACTTGATAATGTGAAACAGTGTCAAAGTAAAACATTTTTTAGTTTTCATTTTGTTTCCGATGAACGGAATATTTTTGTCTTCGACGCCCCTTTTTTCTCCAATTTTGTTTCACATTTTCTCTAAAATCCACAACTTAGTACATCATGTATTAAGCCTTTGCGCTCGAAGCTATTTGAATTCGAAATCCAAAACTCGTTTTCTGTGATCTACAGTATTTCTATTTTATATAATTTATTGGGATCTATCTTATATTTATAAAATATTAACATTAATATTTTAATATTAAGCTTTAATTAATTAATATTAATTAATATATATAATATAATATTATATATTATATATTATTAATATATATATAATTATAATATATATATATATATATTATTTATATTAATATAATAATAATTTATTAATATTATATATAATATTATAATATATTAATTAATATTAGTTTATTATTTAATTATAAATTTTTAGTGACGCCTCGAGTTTAGTCGCCACTCGAGCGTAAAGAGTTAACACACTATATTAATTTGAAGCAGTCAAAGGGTTTGAAGTATATAAATAAATAAGCTTTCTATTTAAAATTTTCACTTTCACGAAATTCTACCAACGATATCTATCGACACATTGAAATAATAAAAACACATTCAATTTACGAGGTGTCCCAGCTTCTTGCAGCACCGTGTGATTTGACCAACGTACTTCTCGCACGTGGTGTTATCATTTTATACAAAAAAAAGGTCGATTCCTTTTGATTGGTTGCACGAGTTGACCCTTAACGGTATTCGAGTACCACAATCATCATCCGTAGCTTAGTCATCGTGTGGTACATCCCCAGCGAACGAGAGATCATCGTGCAACGATGGAACGGCGCGGGTCGCGCGGTTCTGCATACGCTTGACTCGGAATCAGACACGACTTGAATTTGAATTTTCATTTTATCCAGCCAGCCCAACATCGTCCTATCGAAATGGAGGGTCGCTGACCTGCCAGTGGAGCACAAGCAGGCACGAATTGCTGAGGGACACACGAACGTCTGCGAGGAGAGATCAATCTGCGAGCTGATCTCGGCCGGCGGCAGGCCTGGATCGAGCGTGTTGCAGAACCTTCTATGGAACCTAGCTACTGGGTAATTCCGACTAGAAATTCTGGAATTGCAACTGGCCATTGCAGAACCTTCTGCGACCAGGATCGCGAGAAAGTGTCTCGGGGCGTGAATGATTCTGCACAGTTGCTTTCACGGCTGTTCTAGTTTGCATCCTCTGCACCTTTGCGAAATTTATGCGTGTCCGCGAGATAATCGCTGGACCAGTTAGAGCGCACGTAAGAATCATGGTAACGATAATGGCACTGGAAATGCTCTAAGGCTACGGGGCATAGATACAGTAAATTCTCCCTAATTGACGCTCAGATTCGACGCAAAAATGGACACGATTATTCGAGTCTCGCGTCTCGTTTTTCATAGTCGTAGACAACCGGTGATTGTAAAAAAAACTAATATAACTGCACTAATCGAACATAATCCCGTGGGAAAAAGTATTCGCTCAGAACTGAGCGTCTATCGTTGTAATTACTTACATAGGGTGTTTCATAATTGTAACATCTGAGAAAGGGTGATTCCTGAGGTGATTTGAAACAAGTTTTTCCTTTGCGAAAATGCAATCCGCGGCTTCGTTTCCGAGTTATTAACGAAAAACAGTGACCAATCAGAGGCGAGATCATTTGGCGCGAGACGGCCGAGCCAATGAGCGGAACTGGGCTCCGTGCACTCGTCGGCTGGGCCGCCGCTCGCCAGCCGAGCTCGCCTCTTATTGGTTAGTGTTTTTCGTTAATAACTCGTGAACGAAGCCTCGGAGAAAATTTTCGCAAAGGAAAAAGTTACTTCGAATCACCTCAGAAATCGCCCCTTTCCAGTTGTTAACGTAATTATATTATCTAACAAAATATTTCAGTCATTTGGTCGAATTTTGTAAAAAGTTATTGCGTTTTAAACGGTGTCAACACACTTTCCGACGCGACTGTACTAAATACATACAATTTTAACATTACGAAATTGTAGTTTTCAAAGCCTACGCGCTTAGAGAATTTTCTCAGATTTCTGTCGTCAATTCGAACACGATTCGCGAAATTATTGTATTAAAATAGAATTCGTCACGCGATTATATTCGTGCAGATTCGCTAAAACAAATAGTTTCCCGCTGTACGTTTAAACGATCTCCAACGGCTCTGTTTAAACATCGAAGATTACTTTTTCTCCACGAGTATGCTTCACTAATGTACACACGACCGGCGCGCAGTTCGAGATAATTAACGCTTCGACGTGCACAGGAAAGGAAGGACTAATTTATTCGCACGTGTTTCAATTGGTTTGCTGTTGGAAAGCCGATACCTGAAGTCCTCTCTCTCTCTCTCCACTCTGACTAATTCAAGCGGTCGTTAGAACTTCAGCGTATCCTCTTTCGAAAATCAAACCACAGGTTTACCGTTGTGAATACATACATTTATATACAGTTGCGGACAAAATTGAGTGGACAGACACAGTGGAAATGGTTATAAATAAAAAATTTAGTCGAACTAGTATTATTACTATACACACAAGTTCTGTATATTACATATCCTTATGGCACATAGAACATTTTGTGCAAAACTCAAGTTAATGTTTATACTTTTGCACACAGAAATCGTACTTAACGGCAAAGTTAGCAAATTTCTCAGGGACAAAAATCAGTGGACATCTAACAAAGCGCAAGATTAATATTTAGTATGCCCCTCGTTTGCTTGAATTACCGCTTCCAAACGTCGTGGAAAACTGTTTATTAGGTTTTCAACATAATCCTTGCTAATTGCTTCAAATGCTGACTGTAAACTTTGAAAACAGTCGATCTTGTTATTCCGTTTGTCCAATGGTACCTTCGAGTCCAATTCACTCCATAAGTTTTCTATTAAATTTAAATCTGGACTCTGTGCGGGCCATTCAAGTAGGTTAATGTGAGAATCCTCGAAAAATTTTTTGGTTTTCTTCGCTGTATGTTTCGGATCATCATC